GTTGTAATAAAATATTGCAAACATATTTACAGTTTGCACAATTATTTCTAGGGTGTAAGCTCCGTGAGAGTAATGGCTTCCAATGCCCTGCCCTGTATTGTGTCCCTATCACCAGGACAGTGCTGAGTACATGCAGGGCACTCAGTTTTGGCTGAATCAATGTAAGTAGGGCTTGAGCAATGAAAAATGGAAAATCTGTCCTTACCTGAAAAACAGAAATTAACAGGAAAGTTTAAATTGCATAAATTCTAAATATTCTGACTCATGTATAGGCTGGTCTAAGTACGCAGAGCCTTATCTGACCCCAAAGCTGTGAAAGCCATTGAAAGATTAAACAGAAAAGAGAAAAGAACCGTTAATATTATGCCCATTATGTGCTCGCTTTGGCAGCACATATACTAAAACTGCAACTGTGCAGCGAAGATTAGCAAGGCACCTGCTCAAGGACGACACACAAACTCATGAAGCATTCCATATTCTTGTAAACAAGACCCTACTCTATAGCACAGGGAACTATATTCAATATCTTGTAATAACCTATAATGGAAAAAAATCTGAAAAAGAATATATATATATATATAAATCACTTTGCTGTACACTAGAAACTAATACATTTTAAATCAACTATACTTCAATTAAAAATTTTTTAAATAAAGAATTATGCCCATAATAGATGAGAAAGCTGATTTACTCTAGTTTTCACAGAGGTAAATGGCAGAGATGGAACTTAATCCCCATCTTTCTGAACCCAAAGCTTGTGGGCTCTACCACTACTCCAACTCAAGCCAAGAGGAGGAACAAAATTCGGGTTACAGTAATTTAAACAGTGATGTTTTCTCACTAAAGCCAAGACAGAAGGTCACGACTAATGAATGGAAGACAGAATTAGGGAGCATACAAATTTTTTTAACATTTTTTTCTTGAGTTATAGTCATTTTACAATGTTGTGTCAAGTTCCAGTGTAGAGCACAATTTTTCAGTTATAGATGAACATACTATTCATTGTCACTTTTTTTTTGGCTGTGAGCTACCACAAGATCTTGTACATATTCTCCTGTGCTATACGGTATAATCTTGTGTATCTATTCTGCATATGCCTGTCAGTATCTACAAATTTTGAACTCACAGTCTGTCCCTTCCCACTCCCCTCTCCCTTGGCAACCACAAGTTTGTATTCTACATATATGAGTCTGTTTCTGTGTTGTATTTAGGGAGCACACAATTTTTAACAAATTGGTTGAAATAGATGAGATCCATTACCCTGGCTTAACTATTTCTAAAATGTAAATAAAATACATGATAAATATCCTTCACATCAGTGCTTCTCTGGGGTCTTGCAGCAACGTGGATGGACCGAGAGTACCATACTAAGTGAATTAAGTCAGTCAGAGAAAGATAAGTATTATTTGATATCACTTATATGTGGAATATAAAAAATACAAACAAATCTATATACAAAACAGACTCACAGACATAGAAAACAAACTTACAGATATCACAGGGGAAAAGGGGGGGAGAGGGCTAAATGAGGAGAATGAGATTAACAGATACAAGTGGCCATACATAAAACAGATAAGCAACAAGGATTAACATGGGGAACTATATTTAATATCTTAAAATAATCTATAATGGAAAATAATCCGAAAAAAAATATACAACTGAATTACTTTGCTGTACACCTGTGCATAACGATACTTCAATTAAAAAAAAAAGAAAGCAGATTCTAATTCAGCTGGTTTGGGGTGGGGCTGAAGATTCTGCATTTCTAACAGTGTCCTGGGGGAGGCAGATCTTAGTATCCACAGACTGTTCTGTACATCACAGAGCTTCACCTGATACCTGTTTGAAATACCAGGTAAGAACTCCATCTCTCTGCTTTGTCAAATGAAGCAAGACGTTTTCAGGTTTCAGCAGCTTGAAACAGGTATGGTAATTGCCAGTTGTACCAGAAATTAAAGCAATCACAACAGGCTTAAAGTAAGATTTTGGAGATTAGAAATGGGGTTTAGGTGGAGTAATAATTATGCAAATACTCCAGGACACCTCCCTCTGGTTTCCTTTTGGAGCCTGGCATAGTCCCTCAATTTCTTACCACTCACAAAACTAAAATATAACCACAATAATGGAGTTTCATACAGTATAATGGTAGAACATGCTACAAATCATGATATTTCCAAGATTTGTGGTGACCAGACGCAGAGTTTTAGGGGAGAGGAAATTGGATGAAGGTAGTCAAAAGGTACAAACTTCCAGTCATAAGATAAGTAATTACCAGGGATGTAATGTACAACATGATGACTACAGTTAACACTGCTTTATGCTATATATGAAAGCTGTCAAGAGAGCAGACCCTAAAAGTTCTCATCACAAGGACAAAAAGTTTTTTTCTTTTTCTTTTTTCTTCTGGTAATCTATATGAGATGATGGATGTTAACTAAACTTACTGTGGTAATCATTTCGTAATACATATACATATATTATATATGTCTCAAATCATTATGCTGTACACATTAAACTTACATAGTGCTGTATGTTAATTATATCTCAATGAAACTTGGGGGGGAAAGAATTCTGATTTTCCATATCATCTTTTCCATATTGGAATACAGCATATGGAGGATCATACTAATTTTTTTAATCTAATGTGTGATCCCCACCTGCTCTTCTTAAAGACAGCAATGAAGTTGTAGTTATAGTAGTATCTTCCTTGTTTGTTAAGCTGGTGTTTATTAAGGGCATACAATGTGTAAATAGTACACCAAGTATTTAAACAAATTACTTCCTTTCTCTTCACAATAATCCTATAAGAACCACTATTACACCCATTTTAGAGATGATGCAGCTTTCCCAAAGTAACATAGCTGGTAAATGAGAGAGTAAGATTTCCCCAAGATCTGCCTGAATCCAAAGCCCAAGCTCTTACTCACTATGCCCTGAGAGATCCTTTTCTGAAAGAAAGGAGTATGTTTTCTTCTGAATATTTATAAAGAGCAAGTTAGAGGGTCATTTTTATAAGCCATTTTCAAGCCAAGAAGGTATTTCTGGCTTCCTAGGGGAAGTGATGCTGCTCGTCCTGGACTGGACCTCTGATAACCTCAAGGGTACCTGATTTTAATTTACGTGATGGTGATTCTGACACTGTGCA